CCCAGCTTTCTTTTCCAAATCTACTCTCATATAACATGTAACATAATCCATAAACATGTATTTCGGGCAGATTACTTGGGTAATTTGTGATGGAAAAGAATCCAACACACACTAAATAAATCCACCCACGCATTACCTTTACTAATCAAGTTGTCAACATGCAGTTACAAGCAAACAACCTTGATCTTTGAACAACATCATACAATTTAACTTTTCTAAGTCATTTGTACGATTTTTGTGTGATTTTTGTGTTGTGAGGTTGTTAGTTTGAACTTTGGAAGACTTGATTGATGATTTTAGTTCAACTTTAAATGTTTATTTTCATTGTCTTTGATTCTAGTTAGAATGTTTATGTTATGGTTGTGTTGGATATGTTAAAATTTAAAATTTCAATGTTTTTCATTTTTTGAAAAAAAATAAAAACAAAAAACCAAAACCGAACCGGAAAAAATCGAACCGAAAAAAATCGAAAAAAATTGAACCGAACCAAACCGAATCAAAATTTCGGTTTGGTTTCGGTTTTGGCAAAAAACCGAACCGATTTAAACCGAACCCACCCCTAAGCAGAGCAATGTTAAAAAGATGACATTTGAGGAAATTAGAGAACACAGGAGGAAGGGTCTTTGTGATTATTGTCCTGTCAAATGGTTCAAAGGGCATGTTTGCCAAAGTTCTCAACTTTTACTACTTGATTTGTCTGATAGATCTGAAGAGGTTCTTGATGTTGATCCTGTGCTAGATGAGAGTGAGGAATTATCGAATGCTCATATTACTACTTGTGCTGTGTATGGTGTATCTGCTCCTGATAATATTCAAACTATGAAGGTTCTAGGGTCTATTAAACATTGTCATGCAGTGATTCTTTTTTACTCAGGAAGTTCTTAAAATTTCATTAACTCTGCTTTCGCCAAGAAGATGGGCTAGTGAATTGACCCACTTCAGAAGTTTGATGTGATGATTGCCAATTGTGGTACAATTACCAGTATGGGGTGCTGTTCTCAGGTCAAAATTACTATCCAAGACTATGAATACATCTCGGATTTGTATGTTTTGCAGTTCGGAGGTTGGGAGGTTGTGATGTTGTCTTGGGCGCTCAATGGCTGAGAACTTTAGGACCCATTCTCTGGGATTTCGAGAAATTAAAGATGGAATTCACCTTAGGCCAACGACTTTATTGCTTATGTAGTTCTCCGGCCCCTGCACCGAGGTCAGTGATAGCTTGTCACATACAAAGGCTGCTAACTCAAGGTTCTTTTGGAGTGGTTTTGTTTCTTATTGCTCCGAAGGATGCTGTGGCTATCAAAGAAGATTTATATCGTAGTCAACAAGCTGAATTGGATGGATTATTGTCTCAGTTTAAAGTAATATTCCAGTCACCTACCACTTTGCCTTCATCACGGTCTCACGACCATAAGATTCCATTGTTGGAAGAAAGTAAACCACCTAGTGCAAGGCCTTATCAGTACAATCCTATGCAGAAGTCTGAGATTGAGAAATGTGTTACGGAGCTATTAGATTCTGGTTTTATCCGAGCCAGTAATAGTCATTTCTCTTCCCCTATTTTGTTGGTTTGGAAGAAAGATGACAGTTGGAGGATGTGTATGGACTACCGAGCCTTGAATTTGTTGACTATCGAGGATAAATATCCCATCCCATTAATTGATGAATTGCTGGATGAACTATAGGGTGCTCAGTTATTTTCCAAATTGGATTTACGGGCCGGTTATCATCAGATTTGAGTGCACCCTGCCGATATTGAGAAAACAGCCTTCCGCACTCATAATGGGCATTATGAGTTCTTGGTGATGCCGTCTGGACTCACAAACGCTCCAGCAACCTTTCAGAGCTTAATGAATGAACTATTTTGACCTTTTTTGCGTCACTTTGTTCTGGTATTTTTTAATGATATCTTAGTTTACATTTCTACTTGGGAGGATCACCTGCGACATCTCAGTACAGTTTTTCAAGTGTTGTAGTAGCATCAATTGTTTGTGAAGAAATCAAAATGAAATTTTGGTAAATCACAAATTAAGTATTTAGGTCATGTGGTCTCTCGAAATGGAGTTGCAGCGGATCCTTCAAAACTCCGTGTCATTCAAGAGTGGCCCTTACTTGGATCAGTCAAAGCCTTACGAGGATTTTTAGGTCTTACCGGGTATTACTGCAAGTTTATACAAGGGTATGGAAGAATTTGTGGACCACTAACTTCCTTAACAAAGAAGGATGCCTTCCATTGGAATTCAAAGGCTACGACTGCTTTCAATCAGCTTAAAGAAGCGATGTTGTCTCCAACCGTTCTCGCTCTCCCAAATTTTTCGAAGCCATTTGTTATTGAGACTGATGCATCTAACACGGGCATTGGGGTTGTTCTACAACAAGGGGCAGACCTATAGCTTTTACAAGTAAAGCTCTTGGACCTCGATCTCAAGCTATGTCAGCGTATGAACGAGAAATGCTTGCAATCATTCATGCTATTAAGAAATGGCAAACTTATCTTCAAGGCAACCACTTTGTTATACGAACGAACCATCATAGCCTGAAATTTTTTTTGCAAAATAGAGCTCATACTCCATTCCAGCAAAAATGGATTTCTAAACTCTTGGGATTCGATTACGAAATCCAGTACAAACAAGGCACTAAAAATCAAGCTGCTGATGCATTGTCTCGACTGCATTCGGAGGCTCAGTTCTGTGCTATTTCCTATCCTTACATGGGTTGGTTAGACGACTTGCGCCGACACTTGGAACAAGAGCCTTGGATTATTTCGAAACTCAAAGAGTCTTCTGTTTCGACTAGTGCTGCTGATACATTGTCCTCTTCCTACCATTATGATAATGGTTTTCTTAAACATAAGGGCAAAATTATGTTAAGTCCGACGACTAGTTGGAGGGATAAGATATTTCAGGAGCATCACAGTACCTTGATGGCAAGACACGCCGGGTTTCTTAAAACTTACAAGAGGATTTCACGCTCTTTTTATTGGCATGGCATGAAGACGGATATTAGACGAATGGTTGCTGAATGTCAGGTGTGTCAACAAAATAAATATGAAACCTTAGCTTCCCCTGGCCTATTGAATCCCCTGCCAATCCCTCAAACTGTGTGGACATACGTCTCCATAGATTTTATTATGGGGTTGCGGCCTTGCAAAAGGAAGACTATTATTTTTGTAGTGGTGGATCGGTTCTCTAAATATGCACATTTTGTGGCGATTTCTCATCCCTACACAACCCATTCAGTTGCTCAGATTTTTGTTGATCATGTGTTCAAGCTACATGGTATGCCTGCAACAATTGTTAGTGTTCGAGACCCCGTGTTTCTTAGCACTTTTTGGAAGGAATTCTTCGCTTTACAGGGATCTAAACTATGTCTCAGCTCAGGGTATCATCCCCAAACCGATGGTCAAACCGAGGTCGTCAACCGTTGTCTAAAAACATATCTGCGTTGTTTTTGCAGCCTTCAACCAAGGAAGTGGCTCCAATGGTTATCATGGGCTGAATGGAGTTACAATACCTCATATCATTCATCTTCCAAGCTTACTCCATATGAAATTGTATATGGCCAACGTCTTACAGCGGTTCAGACGTATAAATCAGGCACCACCAAACTGGATATGGTTGATAGGTGTTTGCAAACTCAATCACAGATTCTATCTCAACTTAAGACGAATTTGGAAGCAGCTCAGGTGCGGATGAAGCATCAGGCGGATAAACATCGTATTGAACGTACTTTTGAAATGGGTGATATGGTTTACCTCCGACTTATTCCTTACCAGTATCAGTCCTTCGCTTGTCATCCATTTCACAAGTTACAACCCAAGTTTTATGGACCATTTGCGGTGTTGGAAAAGGTTGCGGCAGTCGCTTACAAACTCAAACTTCCTGTTCACTCGAAATTACATCATGTTTTTCATATGTTCTGTTTGAAGAAGCAATTGGGTGTGGGTGTGACTCCTACTACTATACTTCTTGATGTCATTGATGAAGGTCTGTTACAAGAAACTCCATTAGCCATCCTTTAGCAGCGGGTGGTCACCAAGGCTAACTTTCAGATTCCTAAAGTCCTTGTTCATTGGAAAAATCATTCTAAGGAAGATGCAACTTGGGAAGAATTTGATGCTTTTAGACAACGATTTCCTAGTTTTCAACCTTGAGGACAAGGTATGTTTCTATGGGCGGGGTAATGATAGGATACTAAGAAGGGTTATCCAAATTAAGTGATATGTGTATATTTTGTTAGTTCAAGGTACCCTTATTAGATGTTTGACACTTGTCAGTAGTTGGGTGGGTTAGTTGGGATGATTGTAATTGTAGAAACTTAGCCTGCAAGTCTGGAAAAGAGATATATATATATAGCAGACTAAATATGCAAGGCAGGATATGATAAGAAATGTATATTGTTGAGTAATAATACATCAAAGTTTATGTGTCATGCGTTGAAGGTAGAACAAGGTTCTTATTATGCACCACCATGCAAGGCGATAAACAAGGCGATCGTGTGGGCATCAAGATTACCACCCCACGGAACGAACTCAAATTTTGCATGTCCAATTTTCATAGCTAATGATTCAATGTCGAAAAGAAAACCTTAAAGAGTAGCATCGGCTCTCGCAAAGGAGGGCTATTTGGAGAGGAGTTTTTCTTTAGAAAACGATAACGATAACACCATATTAATTAGCTTTTCAAATACCTCAGTTTAATCTTATAGGTTAAGTTTTATTTATACGACACAATAAAATAAAATAAAAATGTGTGGGGAGCTAAACATAGTGTCCGACAAGTAAAATCACCTTCCTTTCTTGTCAGACCAATCCGATGTGGTATAGTAAGTTCTTGGGCCTGGACCAAACCAAGTTTGGGCTAACAAAAGAAGAATCAGGCTTGTCCACCAAATTTGCCATTCTTCCACCTTGGTAAATGGTAAATGGTAAATTCCATCTCAATCATGCAAATTCACGTTTCAAACTACGTACGTAAAATACGCGATTCAAATTCAACAAAGTAGAAAACATACCTGTTCCAGAAAACACAGGAGAGCTCTCAGCTACCAGTCACTCCCTCCCACACCAACACTTCAAACCTTACTTCCTTCCTTCCCTGTGATTGCCAGTTGCCCAGAATTCTCAACAACGCCGGTACAGACAGATGTCGTGGTGCTTGTCCTGCTGCACCGCTTCCACCTGCGGCCTCTGCGGCTCCGTCGCCTCTGGGATTTCCAACAGGTCCGCCAGGCTTGCTTACTGCGGTCTCTTCGGGCTCTCCCTCATAGTTTCTTGGATTCTCAGAGAAGTTGCAGCTCCTCTCTTGAAGAAAATCCCATGTGAGTTTTTCGTTTTTCCAACAACCCCTTTCGTTTTTGGAGCTGATTCTTTTTGGGTACGTGAGGAATCGTCAGATTTTACAGTTTTAGTGACAGAATTGAATTCATCTCTGAAATAATGAACTGGGTTTGTTTTGTTTTTTATTATCATGTGATGCATATTGTAGCTACTGTCAAGTTTTTGGATTTTGCAGTTGATTGCCCCACATGTAAAGACATGTGGTTAATCACCTTCTAAAGATGATGAATGGAATACCAAATATCTGAATCATCTAATTTTCTTGATGTTATTCGTTGATTTAAATTAAGAATTCGAAATTCAGCAGCGTGATTGCATTTTTAACAGCTCTATCACGAGCATGCAAGGCTGGAAATGCTATATTGGAATTCAGCCTAATTTGTTTTCGGATAGTCTTCAATCAAGAATTTAAAGGATTTCAAATTAGGAGTTTAATATTGGAAATGCCAGTGAGTGTATAACCGAGATTATGTGGGATGCTTGTTTCACTTCTCAAAATGTTGTTTGCGAGTTGCGACTGTTGTGGATTTGATTTTTGATATCCTTTTTGGGTTTGGTCTTTATAGGGATAAGCTCTTCTGAGACACACACCAAGGTGTGGTATCAAACACAAGCGGTTCTTCGTGTGAGCATGGGGAATTTCTTGTTTTTCACAGCTTTTGCGCTTATAATGATTGGAGTTAAAGATCAAAATGACAGACGAGATTCCTGGCATCATGGTGGATGGATTGCCAAGATGGTGATCTGGCTTTTGCTTGTCATTCTCATGTTTTTCATGCCAGACATTGTCATTACAATCTATGGTTAGTTTTTTCTCGATATATTTCAGTTTGCGCTATTAGTATTTTCTGCTTTCAGTTCTTTAACCTTGTGGAATAGAGAATGTTTTCAGCCTGACGTAGTTTGTTTGTGGGGTCAGTCATGAATCTGTGGCCATTTCTCTGCTTTACTTGATACTCATGAGTTTTTAGTTCAGAGACTAATGCTTTGTTTTTCCTATGTTGTTATTGACACTATAAAAATGAAATTATGCACTTTTCCTTTTACAAATTTTCCATTATGTTTTTATAAATTTGGTGTGCATGATGGTAGGGCGGAGCCACTAGGGGACCAAAGTGGTCATGGGCCCATCCTGCAGTTGTAGAACTATGAGGCATGAGGGAGAAGATGAATTATCCATGTAAAGAAGTCGAGTCAAACGACGTAGTGCCTTATGTTTTTCTAACAATTTTGTTTGTGTTGTCTTTGTCTTTGTGATTTAGTGAAACGATAAGTGTAGGGATGGGGGTTTTAAAATCGATTTTAATGATATTTCTAAAGCAACCTAATCAACTATTATTTGTAGCTCTCTTCTTTTTCTGTGAAACGATTAAAATCAGATTTCTTTGTATTTTCTTTTTGTAATTTCAATTTTTTTCTGGTTACCCTGCTCTAGTTCCCACTTAGTTATATGCTGGGTTTGCAGGTTTCTTATCAAAATTTGGGGCAGGCTTATTTTTACTGGTTCAAGTGATTATCTTATTAGACTTTACTCACTCGTGGAATGATGCATGGGTGGAGAAAGATGAGCAAAAATGGTTAGTTTAAGTACAAATAGATAAATTTCACCTTCACTGGTTGAATTTCAGTTCTCACTCAGTGAATGTGTATGTTTCAGGTATATTGCTTTGCTTGTTGTATCAATTGTATGCTACCTTGCAGCATTTGCGCTCTCGGGCGTTCTGTTCATTTGGTTCAACCCCTCCGGCGAAGACTGTGGCCTTAATATCTTCTTTATTGTCATGACAATGATTCTCGCATTTGGATTTGCAGTTATTGCTTTACACCCGAAGGTAAGGATAAAAGGGTAAACTTCATTCGTTTGTATGTACTTTGGGACTTAGTAGGTCTGTGCTAGAGAGTGTCAGGCTTTATATTGAAAACTAACCTACATGATGATTTTGCCTGGAAATCTCAAACAGGTGAATGGTAGCCTCCTCCCTGCTTCAGTGATATCTGTTTATAGTGCTTATGTGTGCTTCACGGCTCTTTCCAGTGAACCTCGTGACTATGCTTGCAATGGTCTTCACCATTCCAAAGCAGTCTCTGTGAGTACCCTTCTTCTTGGGATGGCGACGACTGTTCTTTCAGTTTTGTATTCTGCCCTTCGTGCTGGATCATCAACAACTTTTTTATCACCACCAACTTCACCCAGGGGAGGTACTCAATCGCTTTTTGTAATCCTTTATGTTCAGCCAAAAGTAATAACTTCTACCAAACTTGTTGAATGTTGCAATTCATGAAAGCTACTCTCGTGCTTCTTGTTCATAGCGTGTTTAAGTTCTTCCAAACTTGTTGAATGTTGTGGCACTGGTGCAGCTGAAAAGACACCTCTTCTTGACGGCAAAAAGTTGGAAGAAGGGAAAGAGAAGGAGGACAAAGAAGCAAAACCCGTCAGTTATTCCTATACGTTTTTCCATCTGATATTTGCCTTGGCTAGCATGTATTCAGCCATGCTGCTTTCGGGTTGGACCGACTCATCAGAGAGCTCAGATCTCATTGACGTTGGCTGGACATCGGTTTGGGTCCGAATCTGCACAGAATGGGTTACTGCTGCACTATACGTTTGGTCCCTCCTCGCTCCTTTACTTTTCCCTGATCGCGAGTTCTAGCTACCTCCTTCGCTTTGTTTCTGAGGTTCCAAGAACTGTCAATATTTTTCTTGTTTATCTGTGGAGTATAAGTTTAGTCATGTAATTATCTAATAATCTTTTAGAAATAGTCATGGTTGGGAGTCTGTAATAAACTTGAGCTCAGCACAATTTCCATCGATATGTGATATAAATTTCAGGATTTAACATGTTTTTGCACATATGGAACAAAAATTGCAATAAATTTTAAATTTGTTTACACCAACTCTAACCTTTGGAGTAAGTTTTCTATCCCCCCAACATCATTCTAACCTTTGTGCTAAAATGGGGTTAAGTGTTAGAACTAAACAAAAAAACAGTCAAATTCCGGCCAAGATTTAGGTCCAAATTAGCGGTTGAGCCCACATGTGAGAATGTAACAAGAGAAATGAACTGGACTCGCCGAGCCCAAACAAGCACATACCCCGCACGTGTTGACCCGCCTCAGCATCGCTGGCCCACCCACATGGGGCTGTCGACCTTTTGTCAGCCTGTGACACAAGCCCAACAGCTCCTTTTTTTATCCGACGGCCACAATTCAAATAGATATTGAATATCCAACGGTTCACTTTAATTTATTTAATTGTTAGTTTTATATTTATATATTATTTTATCCAACGGTTGAGAACGGAATTATTTAGGTAAACTAATCTAATTCAAAATTATTACCTTATGTTGAGTTATGTGTTGACAATCAAGTGAAAAAGAAAAGAACTTGGATGATTATTTAGATATGATCCATATGGAGAAGGAGATTGCGACTGGGAAGAAGATTGCGGGGAGGGGGCGCCGACGCAGCCGAGGAAGCACCAACTGCTGCTGCTGTTGTTTTACTGGATCACAAGGGCTCCATCTTGCAGCCTAATCACGTGAAGAAACGGCGAGGGCAGGCCTGACGCTTCAGGAGTATCAGAGCAGACAGATTTCTACAAGCGAGCGCAAGACAAGCATCCCTTCTACGGACCGATTATAGCGTCGTCGGCACCCAATCGTCGGCGCGTATCCAATCGTCGGCCTTGCCCAGCTGGAATCACCAAATTTGGTTTTCACTTGAATTTGGTTTGGTTGTAGTATTGAAAAGTAACAAATGGAGAATAGGAATTAACCAAAAATAGCATAAAGGTTTGCTTTATTACAACATATGAAAATCAGTAATTAAATTGAGTATTGTTTCTTACAAGGAATCATTTTATTATCGAGTATTTATTACGTAATATACGTAAATTATTTTTCTCTGAATTCTACATTAAATATCTAAAAATTGAAAAATAAATTGACTACGGAGACTAGTTGATTTGATTACGTTGCCTTACTTGACCTATTTTTAAGTTGTCGTATTTCTAACATCCATGATTCATGGCTTGTCTCGTTTTAATTAGGTAAGCAACTAAGCATAAACTCTTGATTTAAACAATATTTTCAACTAATTACCCCGGATTGGTTCACAACTTCACATAGTTGACGTAACAAGGCTTGCAAGGTCCACGCCATACTCGCTCCAGAAGGCGCGTGAGCGGAGAGCGCTCTCCTTCACCGGCAAGCCTTCTTCTCCCCTGTCCCCCATCGTTTTCCTGGAAGGACGAAACCTCTACCTCTACGTACCCAAAAATATAAATAAATATTAAATATTATTTTTGAAAAATTAATAAATTTGAAAATTACAGAAACCCCCGTCCTCCGTGTTTTTCTAACATGCGCCATTTGCTACTCGCCACCACCACCACCATCATGCCCTCCTCCTCCTTCTATGCCGCTGCCACGTCATCCTCCTCCTCCTATCCAACCCCCAAACCCAAATCCTCAAACCCTAACCCTAACTCAAACCCTAATTGCACCCTCCTCTGCAAGCACTCGCCGTCGGCCACCCTCGACCTCCTCATCCTCATCCTCGTCCTCTTCTCCGGGACCTTCCTCATCACCTCTTACTTTTCCTACATCTTCAACTCCCTCTCGCTCCTCCTCTCTCACTCCACCCTCCCCATCCACCTCCATCACATTCCCGTCCCCTACGTCGTCGGCTTCGTCGCCTTCTTCGCCGCCACGCTGTTCGTAGTCGAGTTCTGCTGCGGCATTCGATCCAGGAAGTGCGATAGGCCCGGATGTAAGGGCTTGAAGAAGGCCATGGAATTCGATTTGCAATTGCAATCGGAGGAGTGTGTCAAGTCCGGGTCTAAAGATATCGATAGGCTGCCGTGGAAGGGCGGCAGCGAGGGCAATCCTGATTACGAGTGCCTCAGGACTGAGCTGAGGCGGATGGCGCCGACGAATGGCCGTGCCGTGCTGCTGTTTCGGGCGCCATGCGGATGCCCGGTGGCCAAGCTCAAAGGCTGGGGTCCCAAGAGAGGACGCCGGCATAAAAAGTGAGTGTCTTTCTCTTTTCTTGCCTGCATTTTCTTGATTATTTGAGTAGATGGAAATTAATTGGATTGAGTAAATGTTGTTTGTATTGATCTGGGTAAGTTACAATTTTGTGTGGAACTTATTGGATGCTATGAATTGAACAATTGGACTTCAAAGGGGCTGATTAAATTTACAGAAATTTGCAAGTAATCTTTGATGGGTACTGGAAGGTTTACTGATTTCCTTGAGGCTGAAGAGGTAAAGCTTAGATCATATGAACTTCCGTTAGACTTAGGTTTGACCAAGATCGATATCTCTTATATACACTCTTCAAGCAATCAGATGATCCATGTAGAAGAGTAGAAGCATAGGTGATGGCATCAAGCCGATATTGTAGAAGGTAGGCACCAGTGGTTTTGGGGAAATGAGACCCTTTTGGTTTGACCTTTCGTATTTTGCCCCACCTAAAAAATTATGTGTACCTAATATGTCTTTTCACTTTGTATCCCTGGCTAGATCCGTTAGGTGGCTGTGCCGTATTTCATCCGGCATTTTTGAACATTGTAGGCTAGAATAATGTTTTGTTTGTTCAGTGGAGCCTGAGTAATCTGGAGTTTAATGGTAAATACTGTATATATGTTTTCGGTTGGACAAACATCTTAGGTAGTGCACCAATAGAATTATGATTGAGTTCAGATTGATCTGTGTAAATGGCATGTACATTTGTTAGTCAATAGGAGAGTACTCCCAATAGAGATAAGCAAGCTAGGTTAGTTCAAGTATGGTATGGACATGGCCTGTTTCAAAAAGGCATGATAATGCCCTAAAGAAGTAAAGAACTGAAAATAACTTTAACGAAAATAACTGTAAAAATGAGGCCCTGAAGAAGTGTAGAAAGATATGGCAGGATTAGGCACCACACTAATATGATGCATGAGCATGGCACGATTAAGTTGCCCCAAGTACCAAAGGAAGCACAGATGGGCGGATTTTAATGACGGCCCCATTTTACACCTCTACTCCAGAAGTATTAGGGATAGAATTTGTTTGGGTCTTTAAGGTCCATAACCCAGACATCAACCTCAGTGGTATACATGATAGATTACTATAGGATATATGTGGAAAGCTTTTAATCAGAATATGAAAAAAGGCAGGATGAACATCAATGTAATGGTAGCAGTGAGTATATTCTGAAGCGCTAAACGGATGAAAGCTACGGTATAATTTGGGGTGTAGGCCATGAATGATCATTTCCCGAGTAACTGAGAATGGTTACTGAAAAGTGTTAGCTTCAGCACCATGGTTGACAATGTGGAATAAATCTTGATTTGATATGAATTTTCTCCACAAAATAAGTATATGCACAAACTTGAGTCCTCAACATAAACTGATAGGATGATATGATGATATGCTGGGGCATATACCCAGTCATTTTAGGTTCTAAATCTATGTGACCATCCATTAGTATTGTTCCAGAAGGTGACCCCTCATAAGAGGCATTCATCAATATATTTTCTGTTTGCGGGAGAGACTAGTTTGGCTCTTTATTTAGCACCGTACCTACAATGCACATGAGAGCAGGAGTGGTTGTCCGGGCAATACAGAGAAAGCAACAATATAGTTTAGGAAGACCTGTAAGCAGTTACGGTTCACTTTGTCCTCATTCAGTGTTGGTCCAGTTTAACAGCATCCCCTTTTGGGCTGCATTTCTGGTACCGATAGATCTGGCAGTTACGTACGGCTCTGCTGATTTGGTTTTACCTATGGGACGTGTTTCTTATAAATAGAATTGAAAAGATAATTTGTATCTTGATTTGGCTTTAGTTATTTGCAGCTTGTCTTACCTTGTTAGAAGACAATGTCCTCAGTAGGTTTCAAATATACTTTGTTGGGTGCACTATTATGTTCTTTGTAGGTGAACTTATTGCTTTGTAGGCTGGCAAGTTTTGTGTCATAACGATTGTACAACTCTGTCAAACCCTGAAAGTGGTATTGAGCAATTACTGAGAATTGTAACCGTGCAAGTTTTATACTTATCTAGTCTCTTTGGTCTTGCAGGGCTCTGGCCAGTATGGCTCTTAATGGAGGAGATCATCGCTGATTGTTAAGGATGCTTTCGCCGCCGGAGTTTCCATTACATGTTCGATCATTTACCTGTTATTATAGACGTTATTCTTCACTTCACTCTCAATCAAAACAATTCTTTCTCATTAATCATATACTCCGGTGGCAGCACATTTATATGTTTGAAACAACCTTTGTGTAGAGTCTGTAGACGAGCATCTTCTCGAGCGATTGTCTCTCGTATGTGGAAGGGCATAACAAATTGAATGAGAATAAATATATCAAATGTCAATTGGATATTTTGTTTGCCTAACTAATGGTTTTGAACTTCTATACCCCATCAATTCCCTTTTAGAACCGAGATGAGGTAAAGCCATGTACCTCTGCCAAACGGGGGAATTGATGAGTCGCTATGGATGAAGGTCTTTGTTCTCAAAATTGATGAATTCTCCAATGGACCGCAACACAACCACGTGGTGTTATTTATTGGTACAATGTCATTCTATTCTAAGGGAGGAGTGATTGGGCTAGGTCATGATACTAGTTTGTCCGATGAGTTTTTTATTTTATATTTTTTTTTAGTACATTGATATTTTTACATTAAGAGGAGTGAGAGTTCGGCTAAGCCACATAATAGGTAACCTAATTTGGTATTGAATTCGTCATCCACGAGATTCAAACTTAGACCTCTCACTTCCAAGTAAAGAGGTATCATCAGATCGTAGTACTGAATTATACTAGTTATTCGGAGTTTAATAACAAATTATTATGACTTCCC